AAATGCGGGTTACTCCAGTCACTGTTACTGGGACCTGCCCTCACACTAACTTTATGTCTAAAAAATTAAAAGAAAATCTAGTTGAAAGAAATTTTTGTCAATTCTTCCACATTTTCTTCAGGAAACGAAATTAATAAATAACAAATTGCATATTTCCAATGTAACCTCGTCCTAGATATCCCACATTTGGTCTTACTGGTGAGCCCACCAATGCTGACAAGAAGCTTAGTCAAGAAACATTGAAGTCCTTCGGAATACCAAATCTACCCGGGTTAAATAAGAGTGAGTTTATTAAAGTATTGACTAACTTCAGAACAATGTGTAAGGCATATGTGCAGGTAAGAACACCAGCATTTATTAAGGATTTTATCAGTATTACGAAAAGAGTGGATCCTAAGGTTGAGTGATTTTTCAAAGGTTTTCAACCAATTTACGTTCTTACTCTAGCAGTTTTGAGTGTAGATCATATGCTTGGTGAATACCGTATCCATATCGTCATATTTCGCCAAGACCTGCAAAAGCTAAAATATTCCCTAAGTTGTACAATATACTTCCTTCCAGTTTTCAACAAACTCGGTGGGAACCGTCCCAGCAAGAGAGTACGCGGCTACGAGCCAGGATACGGAGCTGTGAATCCGAATGCACCATTAGCTATCGGAAAGGTAACGTTTCCTAAATTGCATGTTTGGACAACTAGCTAAAACAGTTTATGAGATGATCTTGAGAAGAGGTATGAAACAAGAAAAACCTGGAAAATTTGGTATTGTACCCTTCATCATACAAACTTTGGGAACGACATCGGCAAAACAACCTTTGAAGAAGGAAAAAGTTTTTTTTAAAGTTTTTTTTACAAGCCAACTATTTTCAAGAAGTGAACAAGCGGGAATTTAGTTTCGATGAAGTACTGCTGAAAGAAGCCCATCAAAATATGAACTGTTCTCGGCATCTAATCTTCCTCACCAGTTCTTTATTTAATTTCTCATCAGCGTTTATGACGTGACTTGCACGCATGCTGAGCAAAAATGGCAAGCTCTGCTAACAAACCCATACTCAGCAATAAATCAAGTGAGAACTGGTCCTCACATCTTATTAACTAGAATTCTATGTAATTATGTTCAGATAAGTAAGAAATAAGTAAAATCCTGCGGCATAGCATTCCGTACTTCTCACCTGATAGATGTGTCCCACTTCTTACTCGCTTAAAAAGACGTATATCTACCAGGTTTCTACTTACCAGACAGCCAAGACAAAAGTAACTGTCAGGCAACAATCACCCGCGTTTTGTGAATTTTGCCTGACTGCTTCGTGAAAAAAAAACGCGTATTACAATGGACCTTGGTCACAGTCAAGAGCTAGTCTCCATCGCACCAAGGGGATATGTCTACTTGGGTAGTAAGTGCTGTATTTTGTGTAAGGCATAACCAGTACCTACAAAAAAAAAACAAATTCAGACAAAATTTAGCCATTGTAGCACAAAGCTATTGATGTGATTCATCTGTGCACTTCAGTTACCTTAT